GGGTGAGAGAGAGGGGGAAAGGGGAAGCTTTTGTTTGTGGGGCATTGAGTTTATGCTAATGGTGGTGAGATATTTTGGGGAAGGATAGCAACAATGGTGGCACGTGAAAAATGTTATCAATGTCCCTGAGCTGTAAATGTGGAAATTGTTATGTTGGTGATTGTCTTGTTGTGCACGTTTTCACCACAATAAAAGTTATATATATATATATATATATATATATATAGGTTCCCCTCAATGTTCACTGTGTTATGAGAGGATAAAACAAAAGCAAGGGAGTCCCCCAATCCTTGGACTTAGAATGAAGAAGACATGGGGTCCAGACAAAATGTTCAAAAGAAACATCATCCATTCTATGCATATTTATTGTCTACCTTCTCTGTACCAGAAACTGTGCCAGAAAGTTCATACAGCAATGAACAAGGCAGACATGTCTTGGAGCATATGTTCTAGTGGTAGGAGCAGGTTTGTATCCCACTCTCAATGGGTTTCTATCCCATTCTTCAGGGAGTAGAAGAGATTCCCCTGGACTGAAGAGTGACGGGAGAAAAGAAGAGTGATGAGACAGCGGGATAACTAGGTATCACAACAGAGAGCCCTGGACTCTGCTTCTGAAGCAGAGCCCCTGCAAAGCAGCAAAACTTGAGGGAAGTTTGGGGGACCTGACTGCTTAGAAGTCTATGCCCTGCTTCCTGAACTGTGGCCCCAGGAAAGGGATAAGAGCCAAATAGGTTATGACTGCAGCACAGTGTATCTGGGCAGATGGAGCCACAATCTGCCTGACATTTCCATGCCACTGACACACTGACGCATCAGAACAACCCCCAAACCCATGAGCACAGAAGGATGGATGGGGGAGAACAGCTGGATACAAGTGGGACAGGTGGGAAGAACACTGACTGTCTTAGTAAACACAGGCTCAGACACTGTCATCAAGGACAATATACTCCCCTAGTCCTAGCTACACAAGCTCCTCAAAAACCTAGGTTCAATGTTTTAGAGAAACGGTGGGGAGCTCAGTTGATGAGATTTAACACATAACCTCTGCAGAATGGAAGTTCAAAAGAAAACTTAATTTGTTACAGAAAAATAAAGCAGATAAAATTTATGAACTCACCATTGGGCCAACTACAGCATGAAAACTGAGACAGTTATACTTAACAACTCATTTCCTCTGGATGAGAAAAGAAGGAAATGAATGAAAGGGAATGTATTTTCTAACAGCAGTTCTTAAACTTTGCCGCATGTTTGTTTGTTTGTTTTTTAATTCTGATGCCTAGGCTTCATCCTGGACCAACTAAATCAGAATCTCTGGCATTACAACTTTTTTAAATTCCCCAAGTGATTTCAATGTGCATCCAAGTTTAAGAACCAGTGATGTAAGTGGTGCTTTTCAAACGTTCATGTGCATGCAAATCACCTGCGTCTTAAGTTGCAGATTCTGATCTGGTAGCTCTGGGATGGGGACTGAGAGTCTACATTTCCAACAAGCTCCTACTTCAAGGAGCAAGTATTTAAAGACCTTTATTATAACAACAAGAGGCTCTGGTGGTGCAGTGGTTAAAGCATTTGGCTGCTAACTAACAGTTTGTAGGTTCAAATCCACCAGCTGCTCCATGGGAGAAAGATGAGGCAGTCTGTTTCTGTAAAGATTTACAGCCTTGGAAACAGTATGGAGCAGTTCTACTCTGTCCTATAGGGTCACTCTGAGTCAGAATCAACATCATGGGAGTAGGTTTTGGTTATTATAACAACAACAACATTACGTGCCAAGTGTTTTACTTCTCATTAATAAAAAGCTATCAGCAGCATAGAAAATTACATGGAACAAAGAAATTGACACCACAAAAAACACATAACAAAAATGACAGCTACAAATTCATATGTGCCGATAACTACATACCTGGCAAGGGACTTATCTCTAAGATTTATAGTAGAAGAGTGGATGACCAAACTATGGTACATACACATACTGGAATGCTATGCAGCACTAAAGAATAATGTAGAGTCTGCAAAACACCGCATAATATGGATGAACTTGGAGGACATTATGCTGAGTGAAATAAGTCAATTACAAAAGGACAAATATAGTATTAGTTCGTTGTTGTGGAGGGTCAAGGAAAGGTTTATATATGGAGGGAAACTTTCTTTGTTGGTTGCCAAGAGTGGAAAGGGAGGGGAGGGAACACTGCAAAAAAAAAAAAAAAAAAAATGCATTGACCCATGTCACTTTAGTTTTGTGTATTTCACTGTACATAAATAATATTTCAATAAAATGCATCAAAAAAAAAAAAAAAAGCTATCAGGTTAACAAAGATACATGGAAACAGTTACCAGGGACTGGTACACCATGAGATCCTCAGCCTATATGACTATGAGACCAGAAGCACTAGATGGTGCCCAGCTACCACTGTCAACCACTCAGAGGAGGATCTATGTAGGAGATCCTGGATAGAGTGGGAGAACAATGTGGAATAAAACTCAAAATCATTTTTAAAAAAAGACCAGGTTTGCGGGTCTGATAGAGTCTAGTGGAATCCCTGAGACTATGGCCCCTAGCTGCCCATCAGGTCTGGAATTGAACCTACTCCTGTGGCTTCCAGCCAAACAAAAGACAAGCATATGAGCTGAACATTTACATTAGGTAGACACACTCCTTGGAGAGATCACTCATGGGAGAATAGAAGGGCTGTGTATGCACAGGGAGATAGCTGGGGGGAGCAGGAGTGCATGGGAGGGAAGGAAAAGGGAAGAGGTAACTATGGGGAGGAAGTGGGAGGGGAGCTGTTACATTGTGGGAGATGGCAGTCAATGTAATGAGACAAAGTGTATGTGAACTGCTACATGGAAGATGAATTTTCTCTGTAAACTTTCACCCAAATCACAATTAAAAATTTTAAAATGTAATAAAAATAAAAATCTATTAGGTTAAATAAGATACATTATTAAAATTAATTTTATGGTTTTGTTTATATCTTTTGAAAAGGCAACTAGAAAGGCTTATAAAATTACATCTATCATTTGCATTTTTGGCTCAAATGATCTTTCTGTTGGAGAGCTTTGGAGTGCATAAGAAATACTGGGATGGGGGAGGTGTCTGTAAAATGCAGATTGCCAGAACCAGACCTCTGTTGAACCTAGCTCAGCTCTATTTTAGGCAGAGATTTGCAAAAGCCACATAAAGTAACAAGAGTTTAATTCTTTGCTTTCTTGCTTCCTCTTCCACTACCATATGCCTGATTCTCTTTATATTTCATTCTCTTCATATTACTCTTATCAAAACATGGTCCCAACTACCAAGGAAGAGAATTGGTTTGGCCAAGATAAGCATCAGTGACCCTCTTTAAAAACCAAAAACCGAACTCACTGCCATAGAGTCCAATCCGATTCATAGTGACCCCTCTTTGGGTTTCCGAGGTGGTATGACTATGGAAGTAGATTGCCCAGTCTTCCTTCTGACGAGCAGCAGCTGGTGGGTTTGAACCACCAGCCTTTTGGTTAGCAGTCAAATGCCTCAGGCACTAAATCACAGTGACCCTCTTTAGTCAGAGCTTTTTGCATCAGGCTGCTACATAGGTCTCTGTCCAATCTAAGGATTGGCTGTTCCTCAGTCAAGTGTCAACTAATCAATTGCAGTTTGGTGGGAGTTGGGGGTAGAGCGGAGTCATCAGACTGAACAGAGTAGTGAGGGGATGGTAGGAATGCACTGTATGGATTGACTGGACATCGATGACTTAATTCAAAAATTAAAAGAGTGTAGTACACATGAAAAGGTCCTGTGACAGCTCTAAAGCCAAGGACTGATTATTCCCGGAACTGCACTCTAGGAAAATTCCCAGCCAAGCCACTCTACAAATGATAATAATAGATCCAGTCTCAAAAATATTTTGATCATATTTAGCAATTTGATGGCCAGATTGAACAAGGAAATTAGGTGGAGAGAAATCTAATGGAGAGGCAGACAGGCCATATATCATATATCAAATATATTTTAACAAACAAAATTCCAGTCCCAGTGAGGCCATTAAGCCACCCTATGACCTTGGGCAAGATGCCTTAGTCTTCTCATCTTTACAGGTGACAAAATGAAATGGATTGTGAAGATCAGATAAATGATAGATACAAAAGTGCTTCTTCAAACAGCTGTACAGATGTAATGCTTACAGGTACGTGCTGTTGTCATTAACTATGCTTACTAATGAATGAGCAACCCCACAGTAAATCATACCTCAATGAATACACCCAGCCCAGGCACCATCCGGTTCTATTTCTTCAACATTTTAGTACATTGGAAATGTTAACTCATAGCCACCATACTCTGTTAGGCACTTATCTCGAAGCTATAGCTTTATCTGTAATATGCCTTTAGGAACTCACCTCAATACATCAAACCCTGCCATATTTGAGAGAAATTTGATCTATCAGCCCTTGGCTAAAGACCATTGTCAGCTTAATCTGAAGGTAGCTTTTTCCAATAACTGTCAGAATAGTTAAGATTTACAACATATTCTAATGACCTACCATGGTATTTCTGTTTAAATAATCCAAAGGGTAAGAAATACAGTAAAAGAAAATTTTAGCTGTCGTGTTTTAGATCCAGATTTATGTCTGTGCAATATCTGGGAAAAAATAATTATTATCTTTTTCCATTGTTCTTTTTATGTTCCATTTTCTTTCCAAATCAAATGAAATAATTTTTTTTTTTTCCTAAAGTACTCAATTTCACAGGGATTCAATCAGAAATACTGAGGAGTTCTTCACTTTTCTGTCCCATTGTGGAAAGTCTGACACTTTCCTCTCCCAGCTATAGGAGTGAAGAGTTTACCATAGATTTACATAATTGACTAGGAACACGGGAATTTCTGAACCTCTAAAAAAGGAGCGCTGCATCTTTAAGGCTACACCGGGCTCTCTCTCCCTGCTCTCTACGCAGGCAGAGCAAGCTCTGCTGCAGCGACTCATCCTATCGATAAGGTTCGGTTAGCCAAGGTGGAGGATGGGAAAAGAATGGAACTGTCCCAGCTACTCAATGAGATCAGGGCAAACTATGAAAAGCTCCTCACCAGAAATCAGATAGAGACCGTGCTGTCAACAAGGACCCAGGTAATGATTTCATACAGACAGGCACCTTCCAGGAGAAGGAGACAGTCCATGTCTATCCAATTCCTGTCCCAGCCTCTCTGAGGTACAGTATTTCCTTTTCAATGCAGCATATACTGGGGAAAGAATTTAGGTTGGACAGCAATGTGACTGAGACTACAGGGGGAAATGCTGTGATTATACTGTTAAATGGCCATTAAATAAATGTTGGCTGATGCATTTGCTTGTTAGACAAATTATGAGGTTACTATCGTTATCAAAACCTACAAGAAAATGGTGTATCCTAATCTCTTTAAGCACCCTTCAGGAAGCAAGCGTTTCAAATACCCTTCAAAGATGCAGTGGGGTTATTTATAGAGATAATTTAGATAGCATCTTTAAAATGGCAAGCTTTATAGGGAGATTTACTAGCTTGCACATGCACACTGTCTAGAGATAAAACTAGGTAAAATATTTCTAAACAGCCTCCATCATCCTGTTAAATGAGCTCAGTTTTATATCAGATCGTTATAAATAGACATCGTCTCAGTTTGTGACATGACATTCACAAACAATTGTCTAAATTATGACAATCAGAACACCCCAAATGGGTTATAGATTTTTGCTCATGTAGCATGAGCTATGTTTATTTCTAACACAAAGGATGAAATATTTATTCTTAAAAAGAGAGACAATTTAATAACACTATGTAAGTATTCTTAAAAAGAGATAATTTGAATAAGGGCTAAATTCTAATTCACAGACTTACTGAGTTTCAAAGTGACAATCACCCTTAGCCATTAAGGTCTCAACTCTTCAAACAAATGTAGAAATAAGTATTTTAGAAACAAAGATTCGGAAATTTAGTTGGTTTTGTTTTGTTCTGATCTTAATTTTCCTGTCAAATCTGAGTTCAAGTTCAAATCTGAGTTCTAAATTCCAGATACAGTAAACAGTTTACTTAAGGACATTTCCAAATTGGGGGGTGGGAGGGGGTGGGGGTGGATATTGCTAGGAACTCAAAGGCCTTTATTTCATTAGCAACTCATTTTCAGTCACATTATAAATTTTATAGTTAGGTAACATTTTCAGTCTTCAGAAAGAATGATCAGCACTCTGGATTAAGCAAAAACACTTGACTATTTGCACTATACGAGCTCTGGTGGTATAGTGCCTAAGGCACTTGACTGCTAACCAGAAGGCTGCTGGTTCAAACCCACCAGCCACTCCTCAGAAGGAAGGTTGGGCAACCTATTTCTGTAGTGATACCACCTCGGAAACCCAAGGATGGTTCACTATGAGTCAGATCTGACTCGACAGCAGTGTGTATTGTATATTTGCACTATGTATTGGAATAGTTCCCCTACCTTTTACAAAAGGAAGGAAAACAATAGATGAGAATTTCTGAAGATGATGAACCAAATTTTATTTTACAATAAAGTTTATAAGTCACAATGTTAAAATGAGTAAATTCAAACAAAAAAGCAAGATTACAGTAGATTTTGTTTCAAATCTTTTGAACATGAAAAAACTATGTTAGAGAATTTTTTTTCAAAACTTCAGAAAGTCAGCTAGAATAAATTCAAGAAATCTTGATTCATTTTTATGAAATAAAGAAGCATAAACTGTTTTAAGTTAACTGTTGTTGTGGAACAAACCACCTCAAAACTGAATGGATTAAAACCACAATTACTATATTCTCTCTCATGATTCTGTGAGTTGATTGAGCTCAGCAGGGTGATTTTTCTGCTAAGCACGATGTTGACTGGGACTGCAATTATCTTGGGGCACAACTGGGCTGAAATGTCCATGGTGGCTCGTTTATGTATCTGGCACCTTGGCAGGGGCTTGCTGGAAGACTGGCTCAGCTGGAACATCTGGGCCTGTTTCTCTTTCTCCATGTGGCCTCTCTACATGATCTCTCCAACGGGGCATCCAGACTTCTTACATGGTGGCCCAGGGCTCCCAAAGAACAGAAGTGGAAGCAGTCAGGGCTTCTTAAAGCTTACGCCTGGAACTAGCATGGCATCACTCCTGCCACATTCTGTTGGTTAAAGCAAGACACAGGTCAACCCAGGTTCAGTGTGGAGGGGACCACACAAAGACATGAATGTTGGGAGATGTCATTCATTAGTGGCCATCTATGGAACCTAGCTACCCCATAAGCTTAGCTGCCACATCTATACTCAAAATCCAAACAAACACTAGACCTGGCACTTACATGCTCTCATATTTCCCAAATTTTTTACATTCTCTTTTGTAGTTGCTCCAGTGTGTGTAGCTGTGTCACTTTGCCAAGTTAATACTAAGAAAAAGTGACACAACAAACCAGAAGAAATGTGACTTTTGTTATCTAACACCTTGCCCTAAACTTTATTTACAGATTTTCATTTACTCCAGTGATTCCTTTAAAATAAAAATCCAGGTGGAACCACCGAGACTATGGCCCCTAGCTGGCCTTCAGATCTGGAATTGAACCCACACCTGTGGTTTCCAGCCAAACAAAAGACAGGCATATGAGTTGAACATTTACCTCAAGTAGATACACTCCTTGGAAAGAACAATCATGGGAGAAGAAGGGCTGCTTATGCACAGGGAGACAGCTCAGGGGGCAGGAGCCCATGGAGGGTTGGACACTGGGAAGAGGTAACTGGGGGGAGGAAGTGGGAGGGGAGCTGTTGCATTGTGGTAAACTGTGGTCAATGTCATGAGACAAGGTGTATGTGAACTGCTGTATGGAAAGTGAATTTGCTCTGTAAATCTTCACCCAAATCACAATAAAGAAAAATAAATTTTAAAAAAATCCAATATATCATCAAATTTTTAAAATATATTTTAATAAGAATATTAAAAACTTATAATTTTGGCTTCAAAATGTTATAATTAATTCCCTACATTGCTCCTACTTGGAATCAAATGTTGAGAATTCTGCCAAGAGAAACTTCCATTTAATTTCGACATCTGCATAAGACTATTTAAAGCTAAATATAAAACATTCAACTTGTTATTTAATGAGGACATTTAGAAACCAGATACACATACCTTTTAAAAACAACAATTTGAAAGAGGTAAATCAATACAGGGTGCTTTTAATACAGAAGCTCAGTCAAGCTCTTCTAATGGAGTTTTGGTGGTTTAGTGGTTAAGGCATTTGGCTGCTAATCAAAAGATTGGTGGTTTGAACCCACCAGCCACTCTGCTTCTGTAAAGATTTACAGCCTTGGAAACCCTATGGGACAGTTCTATTCTGTCCTATAGGCTCACTACGAGTCAGAATCAACTCAATGGCTATAGATTTTTTAATTTCTATAGTAATTTGTTGTTGTTGTTATGTGCCTTTGAGTCGGACCCGACTCATAGCGACCCCTCCTTGGGTTTCCAAGGCAGTATCACTACAGAAGTAGATTGCCCACCCTTCCTTCCGAGGAGTGGCTGGTGGGTTTGAACCACCAGCCTTCTGGTTAGCAGTCAAGTGCCTTAGGCACTGTGCTACCAGAGCTCCTTTCAATTATTGATAACATTTCCCAGCGATATTTGCTCCCTGTCCATACATGGGGTCTCAGAATCGGAAGTCACAATTTTAGGACCTGCAAACTGTTTCTTTTCATTAAAATAGATCTATTTCCCATATTTCATGGGCTGTCACAGTTGGAAGGGACTTTTGCACCCCTGAGAAAACAGGCTGAGAGCATAACTGACTTGCGCATATATTTAATTAATTAGTAACTAAATGCTAGAACAGATCTTTGTAATCCAATAATTTAAAGGAAAAAAAAAATGATTTAATTCCTTCGCTAATTTTCTATAAGTGCTTTTGAACGTCTCATTTTTTTAAGTGGGCTCATTATGTTTTTGTTATTATTGTTGGTTTTCCCATAGCTAGAAGAAGATATAAGCCAAAAAATGGACAAAGATGAAGAGGCTTTAAAGGCGGCTCAAGCAGAACTCAAGGAAGCCCGACGTCAGTGGCACCACCTGCAAGTGGAAATTGAATCTCTCCATGCTGTGGTAAGAATGCAGTCAAAAAGAATTGACCCACTGAATCTCAGATGTCATTTGATTAGGAGAGAAAAAGGAAGAAAGTCCATTCTTTTACTGTAAGAGACTGAAAATCAAGGTTACTGAATTCTATTCCTGGTCCTAGTTCCCCTACTCCACTCCCATCATGAAGTGGCTGTCATCAATTCACTCAAGGCTTAATAACACTTGCTTACCACCTGGGGTTCTCTACGTATTGAAGTGGGAGAATAGAGTCTTTGTCAGTATCCAGAGTGTGACAGTGGGCTCTAACACATACCATTGGACACTGCTAACAGAAAAATAGTGAGCACTTTCCTAAAATGCCTCTATAAGCAGTCCATTCTGGCTCTGATATTCAATAATCTATATTTTCAATATTTCAGAAATTAGATAGTGATAATAAGTTAATCACCCCGCAGGGCATATTTTTGCCCTAGAAATTACCACTGCATTCCTTTAAAACAGTAAGCTCTTGAACTATGTATATAAATATATAAATATATATTTTTTTAATTGTTGGTGCACACAAAACTTTAAGAAAACATCTCTTGCATAAGTGAAGTACAGTTATTACAGCCTCTTGAGAAAGATGAGAATTCAATAGAATGAAGAGAATGCAAATCAGCTTTCAGAAGCGCTTTTTTTTTTTTCACTGATTCACTGATGAGTGTCTCTGTAACACAGGAGAGGGGGCTTGAAAACTCCCTACATGCCAGTGAGCAGCATTACCAGATGCAGCTGCAAGACCTGGAAGCTGTGATTGAAGGGCTGGAAAAAGAACTGCAGGAAGTAAGGCGCGGCATTGAAAAGCAGCTTCAAGAGCACGAGATGCTTCTCAACACGAAGATGAGGCTAGAACAAGAAATAGCGACTTACCGGCGCCTCCTAGAAAAGGAAGAAATCAGGTACTTGGTTCCACAGAGTTAATGACAAGTGGCCACGTAAGTCACTGTTGATGCAGTCAGAGAAATGAAACCTTAAAAACCATCATCCCCATGGGGAACTCACTGAGTTCCTATAATAAAACAGGGTTAGTACTCACTGCAGAGAGTAAGAAAGAGCCAAGAGGAAGAGGAAGGACTATTTCTAGGCTTCCAAAGTTAGGAATGAAACAGCCAAAGTCAAGGGCATTAGCTACAACAAGGAGCACACCAAGCTAGAAATAAATGCAAACCGTTCTCAATCGCAACACAAATGACCTTTCTCAACAATCTCACTTTGTCTTTCAGGATTAGTCTGTGCTTTGTATGGACCACCCCAAAGAAAACATGGAAAATTCACACATTAGCACCATATGACTCCATACCTTCCCCCACACATGCACCCACTTAACAAACTTCAAAATAATAATGATGATGATGATAGGAGTATAAAATGGAGATTCTATCACAATAATAGGAGTTCTGGTAGCATAGTGCCTAAGGCATTTGACTGCTTGCCAGAAGGCTGGCAGTTCAAACCCACCAGCCACTCCTCAGAAGGAAGGTTGGGCAATCTACTTCCATAGAGATGTTGTTGTTGTTGTAGTTGTTTGCCGTCCAGTCGGCCCAGAGATACCGCCTGGGGAAACCCAAGGAGGGGTCAGTATGATTCACAATAACAGAAAGCATTTTTTTCTGAGTACTTGATTTAAATGATTTCCATTTGTCCTGAATAAATAACGATGTGAGAAGAGGAATGTTTTCTAATCCACACAATCTCATGATGTGTAGTCACTTAGAGTCATACAGGTTTGAAACAAGCACCACCTCCCCATCTCCATGTTCCCATGCAAAGAACCTTTTCTTGCTTCAGCATTCTAAATCCTCTGCAGAACTAGATGAAACATTAGCCCATAGTGAAACTCTTGATATTTACTAAATCTTTGGAAATATACCACTTACTAGCTGAGTGACCTTAGATAAGTTATTTACCCCATGTCTCAGTTTTCTTATCTATAAAACAAGAATAATAATATTGCCTAGACCTCTGGTAGCGTAGTGCCTAAGGCATTTGACTGCTAACCACAAGGCTGACGGTTCAAACCCCCAGCCATTCCTCCGAAGGAAGACTGGGTGATCTGTTTCCGCAGTGATACTGCCTTGGAAACCCAAGGAGGGGTCACTATGAGCCGGAAAGACTCGATGGCAGTGAGTTTGGTTTTTGGTTTACTTCATAGGGTAGCTGTGAGGATTAAAAGAGTTGTTTTGGTGACATGCTTAAAGCATTAAAGCAGTACTTGGCACATGGTAGGTGCTATGTGTTGTTGTTGTTGTTGTTGTTATGTGCCGTCGAGTCGGCCCCGACTCATAGCGACCCCTCCTTGGGTTTCCGAGGCAGTATCACTACGGAAGTAGGATTGCCCAACCTTCCTTCCGAGGAGTGGCTGGTGGGTTTGAACCGCCAGCCCTCTGGATAGCAGTCAAGTGCTTTTAGCCACTATGCTACCAGAGCTCCTATATAAGTGTTAAATAAAATAAGTGGTTATAAATTTTATTTATTTCCTAATCATTCAAGATGTTGGCAAACTGGCCCTTTAATACTTTCTATAATATACTCTTATTTTTTTATTGTGCTATCTTTAACATGTATATGAAGGTATAAAGAAAAATATGATGAATACTCATGGATCCACTTCCCCCAGTTTAAAAAGTAAAGCATTTCCAGTGTATTTGACGTCTCATGGGTATCTAACCACCCCACCCAATCTCGTTCCCCTCCCTTCCCCTAACCTGGCTCATGAATCTGATATTCACCAGTCTCATACATTCCTTTATACTAATATGTATTTATCCCTAGACAAAATGGAATTGTTTTGCATACTGTTTGACCTTTATAAAATTCACTGTGGCTTACCTTTTTCTCACTCAGTGTTATTTATGCCAGAGGGATTCATCCATAAAGATACGGTGTAGCCTTATTTCATTTATTTTCACTCTAAATGGTATTTCCATTATATGAAAATGGCTAGAACATACTATTACTATTTATCCACTTCTGGTGGTGGGCATTCAGGTTGTTTAGGTGAGTTGTTATTAAGTGTTGCTCCTATAATTCTTTCCATTTTCAGATATTATGGTTCTATCCAAGGTGGAAAAAAAGACCAAAAACCGACCACAAGTAGAGTTGGTTTTGTTTTACCTTCAGGTGAGTTTCTGATATAAATAAACTAACTTGAAAAGTGAAGCTCTGTTATAGGAATTGGAATGAATTAAATACTCTAAAGTAGCAAAAAGGAGCTCTGGTAGTGTAATGGTTAAGGCATTTGGCTGCTAACCAAAAAGTCGGTGGTTTGAACCACCAGCCACTCCATGGAAGAAAGATGAGGCAGCTCTCGTAAAGATATACAGCCTTGGAAAGCCAATGAGGGTTGCTATGAGTCAGAATCAACTCGATGGCAATGAGTTTTGAGTAAAAGTAACAAAGGAGCCCTGGTGGTGCAACAGTTCAGCACTTGGCTGCTAACTGAAAGGTTTGAACTCACACAGTAACTCAGTAGGAGCTCTGGTGGTGTAGTGCCTAAGGAACTTGACTGCTAACCAGAAGGCTGGCGGTTCAAACCCACCAGCCACTCCTTTGGAAGGAAGATTGGGCAATCTGCTTCCCTAGAGATACCACCTCGGAAACCCAAGGAGGGGTTGCTGTGAGTCCAATATGACTTGATGGCAGTGCGTTTGGTTTAGTTTTTAGTGACTCAGTGGGAGAAAGACCTGGTGATCTGCTTCTGTGCAGTTTACAGCCAAGAAAACCCTATAGGACAGTTCTTTTCTGTCATCTTGTCTGTCATATGGAGTGGCTATGGGTTAGAATCAAGTCAAGGGCACCTAACAACAACAAAGAAGCAAAAACAAGCAATATTGGGGGGGGGGCGGAGGACATAAATTGAATGTGAACAGTATTTGCATATTGTAATTTAGTAATTCATAAATAACATTTTTGCAGCCATTATAAATGAAATATCATTTTCAACAAAAGTCCCACAAAAGTATGAGAATGAAACAGTGGAAACAGTAACCAAACACGCAATATTAAATGGAAATATCATGAAGGAGAGCACTGAAGCACACGGCACTATACAGTAAGTAAAAGAATTTTGACTAAGAAATAATAATAAACATATGCAAATAGGTTCATTACAACTGAGTAACCCCAAGAATTATTCTTTGTCTGAATGTTTCCAAAGTTTTAGTATGTGTCACTTAATGTTCATTTGGACAATTTCCGACGCATATACTTCCATGGTCCTATAAAGTTTTTTGTTTGGGTTTGGGGTTTTAAACGGAAAGCAGCTCTTTTTTTGCTTATTATTTCCCCCTAATGGTTTTAGGGGAGCTCTGGTAGCATAGTGGCTAAGACACTTGCCTGCTAACCAGACGGCTGGCGGTTCAAACCCATCAGCCACTCCTTGGAAGGAAGGTTGGGCAATCCTACTTCCGTAGTGATACTGCCTCGGAAACCCAAGGAGGGGTCGCTATGAGTCAGGGCTGACTTGACGGCACATAACAACAACAACAACAATGGTTTTAGAGACCACAAACTCACACTCCTGCAGCACTGGATCATGGGTGGGATACAGGCAAGTGTGGAGAGGACATGCCTCTGGGCATGGGCCCTTCGGCTTTGCCCAGCGGACTGCCAGTGACTGGGGTGGCTGCAGGGACAGGCTGCTCCAGCTGGCAGAACAGTAGACGCGACAGGGAGAGCTCCACTCGGACCGGCTCTTGCTCTGTGAAGCTGCAGCGGCCAGTTCCACCAGCAGCTCCTGAAGCAGCAGCAGCAAGAGGACAGCTGGAGGCAGACTCCCATAAGGTTCTAATATGGCCTTTCCACAAAATCCAAATCACATGACGTCCTATTGCCCAGAACATATAGTGGACATTAAGCAACTTATACATGTATTGTGAATTTTAATCTAACTTGACAACATAGTTTGTAATATAGGATGCAATATATATAATGTATAATAGATAAACAAAAAATCAGATGAAAGAATACTCAATCCTTAATTCATCATTTTTCCTAAAATATGGAAATTCCACATAAATTATATCATGATTTGTAAGTATACTCAAAAAAACTCACCGCTGCCAAGTCTTTTCTGACTCATAGCAACCTCTCCTTGGGTTTCCGAGGCAGTATCTCTACAGAAGTAGATTGCTCAGTCTTCCTTTCAGGGAGTGGCTGGTGAGTTTGAACTGCCAGCCTTCTGTTTTCAAGTAAATAAATTATAAATTCCACAAACTATAAATTATAGTTTTCTTGGTTTATTTTTCATAGATATGGCATATGTATACATATAACATATATATAGTATATGTGTGTGTGCGTGTACATACATACATACATACGTATTGCTTTATATAAAAAGGCTTATTTTCTCCTTCCAGGACAGAGAAAGTTGATGAAGTTATTAAAGAATGGGAAGGTTCCTTCTTTAAAGATAACCCTCCATTAAGGAAAAAATCTGTGTCTCTTCGATTTGATCTCCACTTAGCAGCCACCGAAGAAGGGTGTTTACAGACTAAGCAGGATAATCTTCCAGATATAGAAGTCAGGCTTATCATGAGAAGATCGTGCAGTATCCCCTCTATCAAACCTCCATCAGCAGCGAATTAATCTGAAGAAAGGAATTGACAGGATTTGAAAATGTCATTATGATGGCCTTAGGGGAGCCAGGCTGGCCTATTCCATATCTAAATGTAAGTTACTAATTACTTATAGATGATCAATGTCTGATTCTCTTCAGGAAAACACAAGGCAGCAAGAGACAAAGTTTCTCTGAATCTGTTTATGGATCTATTTTATAAAGAGAGGAAGGCTGAAAAATAAAATTAAGAATTCAGTATGGTTTCCATTTTATTTATTCTCCAAATTTTCTTTTTTCTCTGAAACGTTATCAGAGACTGTAAGCAGTAAATTGGCTTAGTTAAACCTTTGTAATTTCACTCAACAATTGAATACTCAAAATAAAAAGCAAGTTTATTTGAATATGAACTTATTATGAAGTCATATTAACTGAGTTATTCATCAGTATTCCATGACTGTTTTTAGGTTAAACCTAAAAAGTTTTTTCTACTTTAAAAAAAAAGAAAAAGAGTGCTCGCTTTGGCAGCACATATACTAAAATTGGAACGATACAGAGAAGATTAGCATGGCCCCTGCGCAAGGATGACACGCAAATTCGTGAAGCGTTCCATATTTTTTCACCCAAATCATGATTAAAAAAAAAAAAGAACTTTAAAACTAACTCATTTAACCAAGTTTTTTTTTTTTGAGATAATTATTTTACACTTAGAAAAATAACTACTGGTTCTAAGCAAGCTATAGAACATGCCCCAAGACTAATTTGATAGTTGAATAATATTAAGTTAATCTCTGTTTTTTGTAATCAATAATTTCTGATGGCCAGAAAAAAAAGTAAAAGTTACTTTAATCAAAGAGCTTTAAAAGTTGTATTCCCCTACCTCCTGTAGAGGAGCTCTGGTAGTGCAGTGCCTAAGGCACTTGACTGCTACCCAGAAGGCTGGTAGTTCAAACCCACCAGCCACTCCTCAGAAGGAAGATGGGGCAATATACTTCCATAGTGATACCGCTTGGGAAACCCAAGGAGGGGGTCACTATGAGTCAGGTCCCACTCGATGGCACATAACAACAACCTCCTGTTTAAAAAAAAAATCAGCTATAGAAATGAAACATGAAAACTAAATTAAAGAGGTAGTTAGTACATTACTAGAACAGAAGGCTACCCAACCTCTCACCATCCCAATTTTTCTACCTTTATGGTTAAACGTGATTTAATCTGAGTGCTAGCTATGAACCTTAGCTGAGATACTACGTGAATACTGAAATATTCCTTTTCCTCATTCCCGTAAACTAAGATAACAGTATTGTTATCAGAGCTGAGAGGATCTGCAGGATTTATGTTTTCAAATTGTTCAAACTGTAATGAATATGGATAGAAAATCTTTTTGTGAATAAGTGAAGGCTTGTTGCAAGATTTTTAAAACAATCTGATTTCTTTAATACAGGTATATTTGTTTTAAGACCTTAAAAAATAAACACCTGTTTTAAAACATTAAAATTTATAAGCTACTAATTTTTTTTCTAAGCAGAAATAATGGTTGAGTGCAACTCACCATACTTTTTTCCAGCAAAAGTATCATCTAAGGGCTACAGCCATATCAGCATTTCAGTAGAGGCTTTACAATTATGTCTTTCTCTCTTTTTAGTTTTAATTTCACCAGAAAAAAAAAAATATATGTTTTAACCAGAAGAAAATTACATTAAATGATCTTTAGCATAATACAGGGATAAAAAAAAATTAATTTTTTCAATTATTTCAGATTCCATTTGGCTTGGCTTATTCTATTGAGTAAAAGGGGATGATTTTGTTTTATCAAGATACAACAGCATGCTAAGTGTTTATTCTTGCATAAGCATCTGACCTAAAATACATCCTATACATACATGTGTTTTCACTCAATATTAGTTAAATGCTCCTAATTTTATTAAAGCTTTGCAAAATGCAGCCATATAAGCTATTGTACTAAAGTTACTGTACCAAGCAACAGTAATCAGAATAATGCAAAATATCTAGTGTAATCTACATGCAGTGTTAAAAATTTAGTACTGGCATTGTGAATGTAACTGCTTGTTATAGTAATTCTACTATGCAGCTATTATGTGTATAATATGTACATTTTAAAATACTTGGATTTATAATAAAGTTTTATTTGCTTTGGGGTATTTTAAAATGGGATATGAATTTACCAAAGTAAATGATACCACAACAATAAAAAAAAAAAAAAAAGGAAACATGAACTCTAAAGCTGTATTGTATTTGAGTTTAATACACGGTCCTTTGGGTTGAATGATATTTGCTCATGATTAAGTGAAAGAATGAATTGCTTCAACATGATTGGCTTACTTGGGAGATGGCAGAGCCTTGCAACCATGGTAGATAAAGAATGGATTTTGTATTTTTTGGAAAAAGAAAAATTAAGAATGGTACTTTGACATTTTATTCTGATAAAAAATAGAAATTATCACATAATCCTGGGAAAGTCTAATAACAGCAGCACCATTTGCAAAGAGCCTAGCATGCTCTAGCCATTGCTCATCAGACTTGTACATAATCTCAAAATTTATACAATCCTAAAATGCATGTAATTTCATCCTAGTTTTACAAATGACTAGAAGTGAATATTCTTCAATCTCTCTTCAATCTCCATAACAAAGAACAAAAATAGTTAATCCCAATTACAAATATTGTAGGATTCCAGCTCTGACTGTCACTAAATAACCATGTTACCAAAAGGCTATCACTTTAAATTCCCAGGGCCTCAGGGTTCATACCTGGAAACAAAGGTGTTATGGATTGAATTATGTCACCCCAAAATATGTGTTGAAAATCCTAACCCCTATCCCTATAATCAGGAGCTCTGGTAGCTTAGTGCCTAAGGCACTTGACTGCCAACCAGATGGCTGGAGGTTCAAATCCACCCAGCCACTCCTCGGAAGCAAGATGGCACAAGGTTCAAACCCACCAGCCACTCCTTGGAAGGAAGATGGGGCAATCTACTTCGGTAGTGATACTGCCTTGGAAACCCAAGGAGGGGTTGCTATGAGTCGTCAGACTCCAGGGCACATAACAACAACAATCCCTGTAATCTTAGACCCATTTGGGAAAAAGATTTTCTTTGTAATGTTAATGAGGCCATATCAATGTAGGGTGTGTTTTAAACCAATCACTTTTGAGATAGAAAAAGAGCAGATTAGGCACAGAAAGGACAAACAGGGGAAGATAGATGCCACATGAAGATCACCAAGGAATCAAGGAACAAAAGCTAAAGAGACAAGCATCTTCCCCCAGAGCAGAGAGAGCCTTCCCCTAGAGCCAGGCCTTCCAGCCACCTAAACTGTGAGAAAATAAGTTTCTATTCATTAAAGAAATCCACTTGTGGTATTTCTGTCTTAACAGCACTATGAAACTGAGACAAAAGAAGGAAAAACCCATACCCACTGCCGTCAAGTCGATTCCAACTCATAGCGACTCTATAGGACGGAGTGGAAATGCCCCAGAGGGTTTCCAAGGTTGTAAATCTTTAAGGAAACAGACTGCATCAACTTTCTCCTGGGGAACAGCTGGTGGGTTCTAACAGCAGCCTTTTGGTTACCAACTGAATGCCTTAACCACTGTGCCACCAGACCTTCTAAAACAAAAGGAAATGGTGATACTTAATAGTGACCTCTACCCCATATACCTCAGAGTTATTTGAAATAACGTACATATGAAAATATTTTGTAAAGCACTACTCAAATATACAAGTGCTCTGATGGAGTAGTGGGTAAAACATTTGCCTCCTACCCAGAAGGTCAGAGGTTCAAATCCACCAGCTGCTCCGTGGAGGAAGATGAGATAATCTACTTCCATAAATATTCGCAGCCTGGAAAACTCAATGGCGGTTGCTATCAGTTGGAATTGACTTGATGGCAGTGGGTTTACTCAAATATACAATACTATGTGAATGAAAATTATCATTGGGAGTAAAAAATTTATGAGGACAATTATGGCTGACAATATAAGTGATAGTTCAAAACACAGTAAGTAAAGATAACACTTTGAATTCTTCAAGTGCTGCCAGAAAAAAAAAAATTATTTTTTTCCCAGTGAGTTACCCAATTTGAACTGTTCTTTTTAGTTTTTAAAGTACAAAAATGTTCTCAAGTCTAAAATTCTTCAGTTAATTTGAAAGTTTCAAATGGAAATGTACTAATGGTGCATGGGCTAAAATTAGTCTTTAGCTAAATAATGTGCATATATACATTATCAGGAGCTCTGGTAGCACAGCGCCTAAGGCACTTGACTGTTAACCAGAAGGCTGGCAGTTCAAATCCACCAGCCACTCCTCGGAAGGAAGATGTGGCGGTCTACTTCCATAGGAATATCACCTTGGAAACCCATGGAGGGGTCGCTATGAGTCGGGTCCGACTCGACGGCACATAACAACAACATATACATTATCAACACATGAAGTCAAAGGAAAGTTTCTTCACGGGGCAGAATTTCCTTCTACGTTTACAAGTTATGTCCAGCAAATACACATAGATTGCCACTATTCTGGGACATGCTGAAAATATATGTTCTGAAATAAGGTATATGTACAAATTAATACAAGCTATTCCCAGTGTCCCTCACATAGTTGACCTAGACTAGTGGTGGCAAAGTTTTTCTGTAAATTTTTAGGTTTTGCAGGCCATACAGTCCCTATAGTGACTACATGGCTTCCAAAAAAAGGACACATTTTGTTGTTGTTGGGTGCTGTCAAGTCAGCTCGGACTCATAGAGACCCTATGTACAACAGAACAAAACACTGCTCAATCCTGTGCCAGCCCCACAATCCTTGCCATACCTGAGACCATTGTTGCAGCCACTGTGTCAATCCATTTCATTGAGGGCCTTCTCCTTTTTCATTGACCTTTCACTTTACCAAGCATAATATCCTTGTCTAGGGAATGGCCCCTTCTGACCCCATGACCATAGCAGGTGATATGACATCTGGCCATTCTCATTTCCAAGGAACATTCCGGCTGTACTTCCAGGACAGATTTGTGAGTTCTTCTGGCAGTCCATGGTACTTTCAGTACTCTCTGCCAACCCCACAACTGTTCTGGCTACCTAGTGCTGCTCTGACAAGAATATACCACAAATGGGATGGCCTTAACAAACAGGAGTTTATTCTTTCA